TTTAAGGAGGAGACAGACATTAATCAAATAATAATGGCTATATTGTTACAAATGGATTTATAAGCTGCAGTTAAGTGCAATGAAAGAAAAGTATGGGAAACTATAAAGAATTTAAAAGAAACAGGATCCAATCAAGGAGGTCAGATAAATCTCCCCCAGGGACTTGTTGAGTCATGTGATGGAGACTAGAAGAACTGGTACCCCAGCAAGGAGGAGACCAGAAGGCCAGGGTATGAGCAAAGATCCTGGGGCAGAGGGGGCACAGCGGAAGGAACTCAAGGAAGCCTAGAGCATTTAGAAGCACAAAAAGTAAGGACAAGGGACACTTCTGTCAGACCATGTTGTAGAGCCAAGCAGACATTCAAGGCTGTGATAAGGAGTTTGGTTGTATTCTAAGAGCAGTGGGAAATCACCGAAGGGTCTTTATGCTGGAAACAGCCTCAGACTTTTGTTTTTAAAAATACCGCGTTTGGGGGCAGTTGAGACAATCGAAGGGAAATGGAAGCAGGAGAACAGAGAGGCTGGTTTTTCATTAGCTGGAAAAAGCATGAAAAGTATGTTGGACTAGAGTGATGGTGGTAGACATGGGGATTCAAGATACTTACGGGACAAAATTAACATCAGACTGGTGACAGGCTGGATGTGTGACAAGAGAAGGGAGAGGTCAAGGACGACCCCTGTGCTCCTGACTAGAGATGAAGACACGCGTCCAGAGGGAAAACCACAAGACCAGGGTGTTGTTTGGGCTGAGCGTGGTACTGGGGAACTAAGAGCTTGTCTGAGGAACTATTACACAAAACATCTGAGCATCTGTATCTAAAAACGATATATTTTGAAATATGTAATTTAAATATGAAAATATTTAATAATATACTTTAATAATATACTATAAAGTCTGAGACTTTTTTTTTTTTACAGAAACGTCATTTAAGTTTATTTATTTTCAGTGGTGGGGGGGGAGTGCATGTGAGCAGGGGAAGGGCAGAGAGAGGCAGAGGGCAGAGAGAGGCAGAGGGCAGAGAGAGAGAGAATCCCAAGCAGGCTCCGCACTGTCAGCCCAGAGACCGATGCAGGGCTTGGTCCCACGAAATGTGAAACCATGACCTGAGGCGAGATCAAGAGTCAGACAGTTACCTGACTGAGCCACCCAGGTGCCCCAAAGAAAATTCATTTCAAACTATTTTTTTTTTCCGTCAGCTTAACAAGGCATCATAGAAGAATTTGTGGAAGGAATTAATAATGAAAAACAGCATTATTGTCAACTGGCAACTGATTTTCACCGAGAAAATACATTAACTCTAAAAAGACAGGAATTTCAAGAAATGAACCAACGAAACAGCATCCCAATGCTAAAACAGTTATGATTCAACTTTTCACCTTTACAACACGAGCACTTTGATGATAAAGTTTCACCCAACAACCAAATCCAATAAGGCACTTTTGAAATGACAAATAATGAGCTCTTAGTAGGTAACATTTTATTTCATGAAATCTTCAAAATCTATTTTTTGAGCCTCTTCCATGCCATCCCATTTTTAAACCAGATCTAGCCCTTTGGTCTTTGGAAAATGCAACTGGTTTATCTGGACTTATTGAAGGTCAACCAAATTGCTATTTGCCTTAAGTCAAACCCCACAATAATAATATAAATCTAGGGTAGATATCATATTGCTTAATGGGAATATTTACAAATATATTCTATTAAAGGCATTCCAAAAAGGTAATTTCCCAAATCACCCCCGTGTGTTTTCTCTAACTGTGACAACACAGAAGGCCAAAAATCCTTTGATGGGCTTCAGCTAAAATATGAAAGCCAGCACCATTTTTAATTTTAACATCTCTTTAAAAATGAGCATTATGTTTTAGAGACTATCCCACTGGAATAAGTACTTCGATATTTTTGAAAGAAGGTGTTTAGTGCCAACACCTATAAAAGGATTTCTAAAATCCTGTTATACTTCAGGGTTATGATGAGCTAAAGCCCTATTATCCAGTAAAACCTGTGAAATCAGTAGCATTTTATTCCGAATAGCATACAGTAAATGTACAGTTCGCAGCTACCAAATTTCTAATCACTGTTTGAAGGAGGGGAATGAGTGAATAAGAGGTGCTGTGCTCAAACACTACGATGGTATGTTATTCCATTCAAATATCAGAATTCTATCAAGCACTGGAATGTTATGCTATGGCCCACAAACAAACATTCTACTGATTAAGTTTCTAAATGCGTGACTATATTTAGGAGTATGCTGCTTCATCAAGAATAAATGAAGTCCTTCTGGCTGTGCTTAATTATGATAACAGGGAGGACGCCAGGCCCCAATGCATCACCTTTTCATTTTTGTTTTTAGTCTTTAGAGTTTAGGCAGAGGTAAACTGAATAGAAAATACAGTTTGATAATTTTTGTTTCCTCCTGTAAGTCTTAGTATCTGAAACAGCTGGCTCCTTCAGCAGGTGTATGAGCAATAAAAAGAAATACAATTGTTTTTTTTTTTTTTT